GGCGCCGGGTGGGAACGGGCGTTGCTCCCTCCAGCCCACGCCCCAGCCCATAGCCCCCACCCCACACCCCACACCCCCCGCACCAGCTCAGGCCCCGCCTGTTGCTGCACTCTCCTCCCCTTCCTCCACCCCCAACCCCTAGCCTAGTCGGAGAGTGGCGGAGCTTCCCTAGAGATGGGTAGGAAAAGAAGTAAAGATTCTAAGGGCAAAAAAGAGAAAGAAGGGTAGGAGGTACTAAGTGAGTGAAGCTAAAGGGGCACCTGGGAAGAGACATGCAAATAGAAAGGAGATTCAAAATAACAGTAAAATGAAGGGGATGAACCGGAGTGGTCCTGGGCCTGGGTCCGCGTGGCCCCTTCTTCCTAAGGTCATGTAAGGCGTCCCTTATGCTGCTTGAATCAAACCACATGCACCCTCGGGGAGCTCGGCGATGATACTGCAATGCTAACGCATTGTCAGCCTTCAAGGGACCCAGGGAAATGGCAGAGACAAGGAGAAGAGAGAAAACTCCGGAGGAATGGGGACAGGAGAAAGAAAAGGAAGGAAGAACGAGAAAGAAGGGCAAGAGTTTGGTCAACAAGGGATGGAAGGAAGGGAGAAAAGGAGAGGCAGAGTGATACAGGGAGAGGCAATTAAGCTGGAGTGGGGGGGCTGAGTGTGTCAATAAAGGACAGAGATGAAAAACACAGGCCCAGAGGCAGAGATGGAAAGGGTTTGTCCAGCTACCAGATCCTTCCTAGGACTGTGCATTTCCCACCAGCCAAGAGTTCTGGGCTGGCTCAGGCGAAATCCGGGTGGGGCTGAGAAGGGATCTCCCAGGGACCCACCCCATGGCCTGTCCCTCTTCCTCCCCTTCCCTCCTAGGCTAGTGGGGGTGGGGAGGGCGACATTTTCCAACTCTCTGCTATTTATAACTCTAATCCAGAAACGGGCCAGGAGGAGAGATAGAAAATAATTTGGCACAGCTGGAACCTCACTTGCTCCCACTTCCCTTTCCTCCTTTTCTTTCTTACTGGGTGTCGGTCTTGCACTTTTTGCCTTCCTTCTTATCTCTGTCACACTTGGAATCTTTTTCTTTTTTGAGAGGTTTTTGCTATAGAGCGCGTGCGCTCGCCAGAAAGACAGAGACAGAGAGAGACAGAAAGCGAGAAATCATCCCCTAGGGAGATGGCCATGTTGCAATCCCTTCTACCTTCTCTTCTCGGGATTTTGGGCATGCACGCACATGTGCTCGGCTTGAGTTTAAGCTGCTGGGTCCAGGACTCAAACCATAGTCGACTTCGTGGGAATCCAGCAACACAGCCATTACGCCAACTGCTGGTCCCACACTTGGAATCTTTTTCAGAATACTTCTCAATGTCTCTAATGTTGTCTCTTACCCACACCCCCACACATGGTATCATACTCGTGATTCTCTCTTCTTTTTTTTTTTTTTTTTTTTTATGGTTTTCTACCGTGTTTTTTTTTTTTTTTTTTTTTTTTTTTTTTTTTTTGGAGAGGTTTTTGCTATAGGGCACGTGCGCTCACCAGAAAGACAGAGAGAGACAGAGAGACAGAAAGCAAGAAATCACTCCCCAGGGGGGATGGCCCTTCTCCTCCATTCTCCTCTTGGGATCTTGGGCATGCAAGCACATGCGCCTGGCATGAGTTTAAGCCGCCAGGTCTGGGACTCGAACCACGGTCAAGTACATGGGAGTCCAGCAACATAGCCATTAGGCTAACTGCTGGTCCCCCCCCCTTTTTTTTAAAGGATTTTTGCTTTAGGGCATGTGTGCTTGCTGGAGAGAGAGAGAGAGACAGAGATAGTGAGAGGGAAAGTGAGAAATCACCCCCCAGGAGGATGGCCACGCCTGCAATCCCGTCTCCTCTGTCCTCCTCCTGGGATCTTGGGCACGTACGCACATGTGCCTGACATGATTTTCAGTCCACCAGGTCCAGGATTCTAACCACAGTTGGCCATGTGAGAATTCAACAACACAACCATTGCGCCATCTGCTGGCCCCTCTCTTCTCCTTTCTTAAGTTTTATTTTTAATCATGATGAAGAGCACGTGCACTCACAAGAGAGAGAGAGACCATAGATAGGCTCTTGTCATAGCATGATCCTCTTCCCCAAGCCCTCCAGCTTACCAGGAGCATGTGAGCTTAAGCATGCTTAAGCATGTGAGCACTCCCCATGTGTCCACAGTCAGCCATGCGGCTTCCAGCACTGGTTCAGTATGCTATCCACTGTGCCATGGAGGCTGGCCCTTTTTAAGAGCTCTAATATGTATCCTACCTAATTATCTTCTTCTATTCCCTTTTTCTCTCTTATTTTTTTGTTTAAGCTTACCCTTCTTTGAAAAAATAGGTTAGGCTCTCACTCTGTCTACACTGCAGATACCCCTTGCAGAACACCGGCACACCTCTTAGCAAGCACTGTGAAAGAAATGCATGTGTTGCCGGCAGGGCTGGCACGGGGATTCTGCTTTCCCCCAGCTATGTCCTCTCTATACCTCGTCTATCTCACACGCCAAGACAGTAGAGAGGAGTTGATCTGAGAATGCAGAATAGCAACGTCAGAGTAGAGCCCAGAACTTCTCATTCCCAGCCCAGACCTCCAACCCACGTGAAAATGCCGTTAGCGCCCCAGCTGCACCTGCAACTTCTGCCTGCTTCCTTCTCCCCTTCACTGCCTTCTGATAAAGCCAAGGCTGAAATCAGACGCCAAGAATTCACTTCTGACCTCCTCTGCCCAAATATTTGAGAAGTCACCTCACCCGCCACAGGAGGAAAGAGCAGGAAAGAAGAGAGAGAGGCCACCCAAAATTAGCCTGGCTATAAATAGTGGGGCAAGGGAGGGCGGGGAACACACAAGAACACTAGACCAACCTAGTAAATTTAGACATGTAGAATTTCCCTAATGGAGAAGTGAGACCAGAATGTTGGAACAGAGAATAATACTGTAGGTGAAGAGGGAAATGAAGAAACTAGAGAGATCTAGAGAGTGGAAGAAGCTCAACATTAAAATACATTACCTGGGACCACCAGGTGGTGTAGTGAGCTTCCACATAGAGGGCTGCATTTCGAGTCCTGGTCCAGTCGCTTGAAACTTACATCAGGAGTGTGTGCATGCATGCCCAAAATTCCAAGAGGAGAAGGGATTACAGTGTGACCAGTTCCCCTGGGGGCTGATTTCTCACTCTCCCTCTCACTGTCTCTCTCTCTCTCTGATGGGCAAATACCTTTTTGGAAAGGTTTTTTACTATAGGGTGCATGCACTCGCCAGACAGACAGAGAGAGACAGAGAGACAGAAAGTGAGAAATCAACCCCCGGGGGGGGGGCCACGCTGCAATCCCTTCTCCTCCATTCTCCTCTCGGGATCTTGGGCACGCACGCACACGCGCCCGGCGTGAGTTTAAGCCACCGGTCCGGGATGCGAACCACGGTCGACTACGTGGGAGTCCAGCGACATAGCCATTATGCTAACTGCTGGTCCCATGGGCACATACTTTTTAAGGCAAAAACCTTAAAAACAAAAACAAAAAAAAGAGCTTTGTATTGGAGGCTGGATCCCACATGGCCAAACACAGTACAAACCATGACCCTAGCCGCTTGCTTGAAAAACACACCAAGTGTGGGACCAGCAGTTGGTGTAATGGCTATGTTACTGGACTCCCATGTAGTCGACCGCAGTTCGAGTCCCAGATCTAGTGGCTTAAACTCACGCCAGGTGTGCCATGCATGCCCAAGATCCCAAGAGAAGAATAGAGGAGAAGGAAGGGATTGAGGCATGGCTATCCCCCATCCCGGAGGGGGGGGGGTGATTTCTCACTTTTTGTCTCTCTGTCTCTTTCTGTCTTTCTGGCAAACGCATGTGCCCTGTAGCAAAACCCCCCCCAAAAAAAAAAGCACACCAAGTGCATGTGTGTGTTCATCCCCAAAATCCTGATGGGAAAGAGAAATGGAAGAAAGATATTGCAGTGTGATCATGCCCACTGGGAGGGTGCTTTCACTCTCTCTCTCTCTTTCTCCTTCTGCCTAGCGAACATACACATCCTCTGGCAAGAACTCTTTTTTATTTTTTTAAGATTTTTTTGCCAAAGGCAGGTGCATTTACCAGAAAGCAAGAGACAGAGACAGAGAGAGGAAAAGTGAGAAATCACCCACCAGCAGGGGTGGCTATGCTGTAATTCCTCCTCCTCCATTCTCCTCTAGGGATTTTGAGCATGAACACGGACACACCCGGCATGCTTTCCAAGCTGCCTGGTCCAGCCACAGTCAGCCACGTGGGAGTCCAATACCTTAACCACTGCATCACCTGATAGTCCCGATTTTTTTAATGGTGGAAGTTGAATAAGGCCTAGAAGCCAGTTAACAGGATTGTATCTATATCAGCTTTCTGGTTTTGATATTATGCTGCAGTTATAAAAGATGTCACCACTAGGGAGACTGAGTGAAGGGTATAAAGGACTTCACGTACTATTTTTGCAACTTCCTCGGAGTCTGTAATTATTTCAAAACCTTTCCAAAACGTTTTTTAAAAATTGAGAAATGTAGGGACCGGCAGGTGGTGTGGTGGTTAAGGGCGCTGGACTCCTACATGGCCGACTGCAGTTCGAGTCTCGGACCTGGTGGCTTGCTTTCTCACTCTCCCTTTCTCTTTCTCTCACTCTGTCTCTCCCTGGTCAAATCAAAATAAATAAATAAAGTTAAATAAAATAATTCCTTTTTAAAAAATTGAGAAATGTACAGACCCAGCAAAGACTGTACTTCTGAGTGTCTTCTGAGTGGAAGCTGAGGCTTGCTCCAGCCCCTTCCCACTCCGATGGTATCTTTCCTTCCATTGAGGATCCCTATCTTTCAGCTCCCCCAGATCACACCTCTAGCTGTTGTCTCTAGCTTACAGGCAAACACACACT